CTGCGTGGGCTCCTAAGTGGATAGGCCCCTCCGTCTCCTGCGAGCTGCTGGGTTAGGACCCTCTGCACAGCGGCTGCGTCTCCAGCTGAGAGCTCGGGATTTGTTTGGATAAGCAAGGGCAGAGGGTAGGCTAAAACGCTTTGAAGTGCCTCAGCTCTCATGCTGGCTGCTTCTTGAAGTACATAGGTGTTACTCTGATCGAACAGATGCATCCTTCATAGTTTAATTCAGCTAGTATTATAAAGTACTTGCTGTGCAGGGAGATGGCTTTGCAAATTGTTAATTGGCTCAGGGGAAATCTTACTAAGAATTTACTTGCTCAGGGGAGAGGATGTATATATACACAAAATGCGTGCAGCCACAGGCAAAATCCTTAGCAGGATCTTTTCCCGTTATGCCTTTCTTTCTTTTTGGATTGATGTTGTGGAGAGATGCATTTTCAAAACATGATGTCTTGATTTAGTATTGTGACAGATTGGGTAAGGAGCCCTCAGGAAAAATCAGTTTTGTGTCAATTACCGTAATGGTCTTAGATATCTGAGTACAGTTGCATTCTACTCCAAAACTCACTGTAAGTAGGAGAAACTGAAGGCAATTAGAAGGGTGCACAGAAATGTTGTAGGTGTAGATCAGTTACACGCTAAGTATGTTGATGCTGAATGTGTAATTTATCTCTTGCAGGGGATATCTTGATGACATAACAGCAATTGGGCCCAGAACAGTTGGAAGTCCAGAAAATGAAATCCATACAGTTAACTACCTCTTAGAACAAATTAAGGCAATTAAAGTTGAAAGCACAGATGCTCACAAGATTTTTATAGACATACAGAGGCCCACAGGCTCCTTCAGTATTGACTTTTTAGGAGGTTTTACCAGTTATTATGCAAACATAACCAATGTTGTAGTGAAACTGGAACCACGGAGTGGAGCTGAACATGCGGTGTTATCCAATTGTCACTTTGATTCTGTACCGAATACTCCAGGTAGGTCCATACGTTTATTCTCTGTTTTTCTGCATCATGTGAGCTACAGAGCTTTTTCTTTTTAAGATGGGATTTGTTCTTCTCATAGCAGGCATGTTTATAGCCACATGCTAGGAAACTGTTTGTGTCAAGTTGTCTGTACTTGATTTCAGTGAAATTCAGTATTTAGAGTGACAGGTTGGTCCTGTTGAACTCAATGTATTTCAGGCTATTGTTTTCATTTTCTGGGAGGCATTAACTACAGACACTCTATTTGTATTTCTAGAACTTTTTTTTCCAACATCACCTTTCCTGTAGTTCACTGCTTATACATGTGGTTTGTGTGTTTTTACCTGTAGTTCAGCTGTTTCTGTATTTCTGTACTAACTTAAACCTGAAATTCCATTTAAAGGCTAGTTTGTGCCGGATAGTTCTCACTTTTTTTTTTTTTTTTTAATTCGTTGACTGTTTCGCCTCCCAGTGCTGGTATCATACTTTACCTCAAGTTTCTACTCTTCTATCCTTATGCTATGCCAGTTTTTCTTTCTGCACTCAAAGCTTCTGTCTCAAAAGCCTATGGTGATCAAAGAGTAGCGTGCTGTTGCCTCAGTAGTATGTACATCTCCTACACTGCTACTTTCACTACTGTGCTCTTTCTGGTTCCTGTCTCTCTGCATTTTTATAAATCTGATGGTATCAAATAACTACTGCTGCGTGGGTGTAAACATCTTTGTTTACAAATGTGTAAGGAGTGAGAAACTGCTTGCAAACATTTGTTCTAAGCGTATTCCCCTTTTGGCAACTGCTAGTTTAGGTCCCATGAAGAGGTTACTATTTGCATGAGTATCAATTGCTGGTATTCTTACTGCTGTGCTCTTTAGATAGTAAAAAAATCTGGAGGTTATACTTCAACTAAAGTGCAGCTCCTTCAGTATGGTCAGTATTTGAAATCTGAAGGTATTTTTCAAGAGCTAAAGATTTTCTCATTACCAGCTTTTTTTACTTAAGTGCTTTTTGCTTACAGTCTATGAGAAGCTTTATTTCTTGGTTAAACTTCCAGTTTTTAAGGACAGCAGTAGGTTTCTGTTGCGTTCTTTTTGGGTTTCTCTGGGTTTTTTTGTTTGTGTATTTTAAACAAGTACATAAATAATCTTCATGCCAAGAACAGTTGAGTATTACTTAGAAAAGCAAAACACCTGCTGTACTCTTTGCCCTCTTTCTGTCAACAAACAGCATGCTTAACGCTTCTCTTCCAACCATATTTGGGCAAGGTGGATATCCAGTTAAGCTGAATAACTGGGTTATTATTGTACATGCTTTGTAATTTAGGAGCTGCAGAGACACTACTGTATTAATAATCTAAATATGGCTGCCCAGACCTAAGAAGAATACTTTGGAAGTGTGATACAATGATCATTAAAGCTGGTTTTTAAATTGCCCTATATAAGTTGCAGGTCTGGGGCTATGACCTGGAACCCTGGACTTCAGGAGAGCTGACTTTGGCCTCTTGAGGGGCCTACTTAGGGGAATCTCATGGGGTAGGGCCCTAGAAGGAAGAGGGGTCCAAGAAAGCTGGTTAATATTCAAGCGTCACCTCCTCCAGGCTCAAGATCGGTGCATCCCTCTGAGGAAGAAGTCCTGCAAAGCGGGCAGGAGACCTGCATGGATGAGCAAGGAACTCCTGGCCAAACTCCAGCAGAAGAAGGAAGTGTACAGAATGTGGCAAAGGGGACAGGCCGCTTGGGAGGAATACAGGGACGTTGTCAGAGCGTGCAGGGATGCGACAAGGAAGGCTAAGGCCCAGTTGGAATTAAATCCGTCAAGGGACGTCAAGGACAACAAGAAGGGCTTCTTCAAATACATCCATAGCAAAAGGAAGAGTAGGGAAAA